TATAAATGAAATAGCATATGTAAAAATAGCCCATCAAAAGTCAAAGGAGGAGGTATTTTTAACTGGATTAAAACAAAAACACAACATATCAAAAATTTTTTAATGCTTCTGAATCAATTCTTATAGGAAAGTTTATAACAATTGACACCTTATATTAGAAAAAGAAGGTATCAAAATAGTGACCTCAGCTTCCACCTTAAAAAGAAGTAAAAAATAAGAACAAATTAACACAAAGGTAGGAAAAAAGAAATAATAAAGATCAAAGTGGAAATTAATGACATAGATAACACAAATAATAGAAAAAATCAACAAACCAATCCTGATTCTTACAGAGATCTACAAAATTGACAAACTTCTAGTTATCCTTTTCAGAAAAGGAAAGGAAAAGATATATGAATTGTATACTGGCCTTATGAGTGAATATTAACAAATTTTTATATTTGTTATTTGAGTATATATTTGAGTATATGAGTATATTTATATACTCATAAAGCCATCTATACCTGAAATTTCCATTGCAGGAAAGTTTTCAATTACAAATTTAATTTTTTCAATCAATATAAGGCCATTCTTAGTACCTATTTCTTTTTAAATGAACTCTAGTAGTTTGTGTCTTTCAAGAAATTGGCCTGTTCCATCTAGGTTGTTAAATTTATTGACACAATGTTGTACATAACTTTTCCATGTTAATTCTGTAATACCTGCAGAATCTGAAAGGATGCTGTCTCTCACATTCTTGATAGTTACAATTTATATATCTTTTCCTTTCCTTTTCTGAAAAGGATCTTCACAAGCTCTTCTATAAAACTGAGGAGATAATACTTTTCCAATGTGTACTTTGAGGCCAACATTATTGACAGATTGTCATAAAAAGTAAGTTATAAGAAAAGAAAAATATACTTCTTGAATCAAGAAACAAAAATTACTTGTAATGTTTTAGCAAATTGAACCCAACAATTTTTACAAATGATAATGAACAAATCATAATGAATTAGGGTTTATTCTTAGGAAAGCAAGATTTATTTTACATTTAAAGATCAATCAATCTGATCCACTAAGGGATCCCAAGAAGGATAAAGTATTATGATAATTTAAATACATGTGAAAATAGGCATTTAGAAAATAATATTTCTGATCAAATTTTCAGTAAACTAGAAACAGAAGGGGGATTCCTGAATCTGATAGTGGATATCTATAAAAACTTTTAGTTAAATCATATTTACTGGTAAAAGACTAAATGTTTTTCCCTTTAGAACAGAAGAGAAGCATGTCTACTCACAATCTTTATTCAACATTGTATGGAATCTCTTGCCAATTGAATAAGGCAAAAAAAAATAGGTAAAAAGAATCAAATTTGGAAAGGAGACAACAAAAGTAAATTTATTCATGGTTCATATAATTGTCTATGTAGAAATCCAATGTAACTAGAAAAAAGAATGCCAAACCTAATGAATGAGTTTGTAAAGTTTGCAGGATACAGGTTAACACACAAAATTCATATCTATAAATATGTTTGCCATGAATAAAAAGAAATATTAATTTACCAAACAGTATCATTACAATTATATGTGGAAGACCTTACACTGAAAATGACATTTACATGAGTGTACATATGTCAAAATTGGTTAAATAATTATATTTTTCATATATTGAGCTTATTTTCTGTATATATAGTCCTTTCAGGTGTTTGTGCTAAGTCACTTCAATCGTGTCCGACTCTTTTGTGAGCCTATGGACTCTGTCCATAGGATTCTCCAGGCAAGAATACTGGAGTGGGTTGCTATGCCCTCCTCCAAGGGATCTTCCTGACCCAGGGATCAGGAAGATTTCTTATGTCTCTTATATCTCCTGCATTGGCAGGAGGGTTCTTTATTACTAGCATCTCCTGGAAAGCTCAGACCTTGTATAGTAGGAAATAATTTTATATATGTGTGCATGCATGCTCAGTCGTGTCTGACTCTTGATGACCCCATGGGTTATATAGCCCACCAGGCTCAGCTGTCCATGGAGTTTTACAGGCAAGAATACTGGAGTGGGTTGCCATTTCCTACTCTACTTACATATTTTAAATTGTTAAAAACTGTTATGGTAAAGCTATCTTTTATATACCATTTCATCATATCATTTAGCCTCCACAGATGTTGTAAACATACGACTTGTTTCTGTATTAAATTCATTCTTGTCATGTGTTTTATCACCATGTGAAAATTGAAGAATTGTAGAAAAAAAACCAGGGCACATTATTTCTAGAGAAAATCTAATTGTTCAACAACATTAGCATTCTAGCACTTCAGAGTGTTAGCATTTGTGCTAGGGCTTCTCCCTTGGTGATTACAAGAAACTCAAAGGTCCAAGCATTTTATTCTCACACAAAAATGGCCAGAGGCAGAAAAGGATAGCTTCTCTCAGCGTGCCTTTCTTTAAGAATAAGAGACCATCTCTAATCATCATCTTCTCACTAAACAAAGACCAGAAGAGATCACCTTTTTCTTTTGAATCACTCATAAAAGCAAATGAAACTTAATAAATTGTGACTTAGAGAAGAGATGCTCTTTATCAGAATTGTTTCATATACCTATTCCCAAAACATTGTCAGGGGACTGCATCCCCATAACTGACATGTATTAAGCAAGATGAACTCTCTTTCCTGTAAACACTAGGGCAGAAACTGATTTTTCCCTTTAACAGCTAAATTCAAAGCAGACAAGACCCACAGTGTCCACTACATTAATGCTCCAAAAGAAAGATAACTTATTATCAAGCACAACACAAAATAGAGATGAAACATAGCCCTCCAGTGTCCAGGATCTCAAGGAATTATGCACTTTGAGTAACACAATCAATCAATCAGTGGTCACATGTGAGATGAAATAGTTTTGCATTCCTCTTGCCTTCAAGAAAGAAGAGATCTGAATTGTTGTGGACCAGTGATTTAGCACTTGTCCCTATTTCCCAGGTGGCGCTAGTGGTAAATAATCTGTCTGCCAATGCAGGAGATGTGAGTTCGATCCCTGGACTGGGAAGATCCCCTGGAGTAGGGAACGGTGACCCACTCCTGTATTCTTGCCTGGGAAATCCCATGGACAGAGGAGCCTGGCAGGTTACAGCTCATGGGACCACAAAGAGTCGGGCGCAACTGAACACACACACATATCCATACCCTACATGTAGATCTTCAGTGAAGATACTCTCCAAAAGTGGCATCCTTATTCAGTTCTCATTCTTATCTGTACAAAAGAGGCTGCCACAAGTCTACATGGTTACCATCCCCTGTTGTTCTCCTGTATCTGTGACTTTGTTTAGGGTTCAATCACATTTCTAGGATCCCAGAGCACTCAAGAAATGCTTCTAAGAATTTAGGAAAGAGTATTCAAAAGGACTGTATAAAATCGTGTTTCCCCAGTCCCCGGGCCATTGGACTGGTACTGTTAGGAACCAGGCCTCCCAACAGGTGGTGAGCAGCAGGCAAGAGAGCAAAGCTTATCTGTATTTGCAGCCGCTCTGGTTGCAGGAAAATAAGCTGTGTTCCCAGTGATTCTGTATTATGCTGGGTTGTATAATTATTTCATTATATATCACAATTTAATAACAATAGAAATAAAGAGCACAAAAAATGCAATGTACTTGAAGCATCTTGAAAACATCCTCCCACCTCCTTTCCATGGAAAAATTGTCTTGCAGAAAACAATTTTTGGCCTAAAATGAAAGACCAGATATATAGCTTCCCTGGTGCCTCAGAGGTAAAAGAACCCACCTGCCAATGCAGGAGACACAGGTTCTATCCCTGGGTTGAGAAGATCCCCTGGAGAAGGAAATGGCAACCCACTCTAGTCCTCTTGCCTGGGAAATCCCGGTCAGAGGAGCCTGGTGGGCTACAGTCCATGGGGTCCCAAGAGTCAGATATGACTTGGTGACTGAACAACAACAAAATATACTCTAAGACCAACATCTGGGCTCATCTTATCTCCCCCTAAAAACACATTTTATCACTAAAATTAAAGAGATGTTCTTCCATAGCAGAGTCCTACTTCACCTAATTTAGGAAAGACTCATATATTATTTTAAGAAAAGACAACTCCCCCCACTCCCACCATGCGGGCCTTGTGTCTTACATTTCTTCCCCTCCTTCACTTTTGAGAAATCAATAAACCTTCCCAATGGAGATTTCTGGAAGTATTCAGCAATAAAATATGCCATCTTTTACCCTTTCCGTGAAGCTCCATCCTTGCCCTTCCGACCCTTTGAGCCGACCACTTGTGAAACCAGATGACATTACCCTGGCTTATACTGTAGCTGGTCAGGATCCAGGGGCTTGGCGCCTGTGGTGGTTTGCCTAACCCAGAAGATATCAAGAAACTCTCTGGAGTGTTCTATCCACGGGTGACCCTAGTCACATCCTCTCATATTGCCATAGTACGTCATTAAGAGAAAAGGAGGCATTTGAGCACATGCTAAAGGGATCTGCTGCATTGCTTGTGAGGAATCTGGCTAGAGAGAGTGACGAGGAGATCGACTCTTTTCGTACAGTGAGTCTCAAAACTAGCCATCCTTCATTTATTTATTACTTTCAGTTGGGAAATTAAAGATGAATAATGATCTCCCAATTGCCCTTCACAATCATGATTCAGCCTGAGAGCTAATAAGCCATCTTCAATACCCAAGCCACCATCCCCCCCGGCACGACCACCACCACCTTTTCTGAACAGATATTTTTTCCACACGGATGAACACAAAGAAATAATCAGATAGGAGATTTTTCTTCTAAATTAGGCCTCTTGTTTGTAAACTGAAAGCGTGCGGATGCAGTTGAGACCCGTCTCTGCAGCACACAGGCCGGTGTTGCCCAGGCCGGTCACAAAGAGGCGGGAGAAGGGCAGGCTTTGTTCTATTCTTCAGCCTCCTCCTGTGTGAGAGGCCATTCAGGCGCCCGCGGCTGCTCCGCGCCCGCGCCCTCGGCCCCTGTCTCTGGCTCACACCCTCTCTCTGTTCCTCTCCGTTAGGCCAGCGTGAGAGGAGCGCCGCTGGCGGGGAATGCGCTTTGATGTCGACCTCTGGCTGCCACGGCCAGACCTGCCTTGGTGGGCGAGGAGCACGGGAGAGAGGGCGTGTGTGGGAGACAGGAGGATGAAAGGAGGGCGGCCGGGGCCCCGGGATGCGGACAGACTCCTGCCTGTTCCTTTAGAGGCTTCGGGAAGGGAAATGCTGAGCCTCACGGTTACAGAGGTGACGAACCAGCCCAACTTTAGAAATGACCATGTGAGGTACTGCCTAACGCGAAGAATCAAATTATTGTTCAGGCTTTTGGCGTAAAAAAAAAAAAAAAGAGAGAAGAAAGAGATGAGCCATGAGCATTGCCAAAGAGAAAAGACATTCAGATGGCATTCTAAGGAGCCTGGTTACTCAAGGATGCAGGGAACCCGACACAGAGATAGGGTCTGGTCTGAGTGACGGCTTAGCACAACTTGCGCTCTTTCAGCTTTTGTTTTGATGACTTGCACCAGATGTCAGGAATAAATCACAGGCCCTGGTGGTAAGGCTGCATTTGTGATGCAGGCAGGCAACACATGAAATCGTCATATGCGCAGTCCCTCTGATCTCTGGGGACCAGCCAGGCAAGGGGCATCCTGAGAGGCTGAACCCACAAAGGAGCTTATGGTTTATATGAATTCTCGGCATTCAGGAGCTACCTGCAGTCAGATCATGGAGTTTCTGAGGCTCTGTCTAGATCAAAAGGCCTCATATTGCCAGGTTGTCAGAATAGATCAGACCTTGTTCTCCCATAACCAACACTTGTTTCCTCTTCCTTCAACCACCTATTTTGTTAATCCCACCACATAAAGGAATGAGAGTCTCTCCTCATCACTGATTTCACAGCACATTCTGTCAACGCTCTCCAGCAGGTTTGGGAAGGTGGAAGGAGGCAGAGAAATTTTATACAAAATCCTTTTTGTTTTTTTTCTATTTTGTTGACTCCCAGAGGATATTATTTCAAAAAATATTGTCATCAAGCAAGAGTTAATTGAAGACCTACTACATGCTATATCTCATTTTTCAGTTGCTAAGTCATCTCCGACTCTTTGTGACCTTGTGGACTGCAGCACACCAGGCTTCCCTGTCCTTCATCATTTCCCAGAGTTTGCTCAACTCATGTCCATTGAGCCAGTGATGCCACCCAACCATCTCTGCCACCCAACCATCCTCTGTCACCACCTTCTCTTGCTGCCCTCAGTCTTTCCCCTAGCATTAGGGTCTTTTCCAATGAGTTGGCTCTTTGTATCAGGTGGCCAAAGTATTAGAGTTTCAGCTTCATCATCAGTCCTTCCAATGAATATTCAGGGTTGATTTCCTTTGGAATGGGTTGGTTTGATCTTCTTGCTGTCCAAGGGAATATCAGGAGTCTTCTCCAGCACCACAATTCGAAAGCATCAATTCATCAACACTCAGCCTTCTTTGTGGTCCAGCTATCACCTCCCTACATGACTACTGGAAAAACCATAGCTTTGAGTATATGGACCTTTGTCTGCGAAGTGATGTCTCTGCTTTTGAATACACTGTTTAGGTTTGTCATAGCTTTTCTTCCAAGGAGAAAGGGTCTTTTAATTTCATGGCTGCAGTCACCATCTGCAGTGATTTTGGAGCCCAAGAAAATGAAATCAGTCACTGTTTCCACTTTTTTCCCATCTCTTTGCCATGAAGTGATGGGACTGGATGCAATGATCTTAATTTTTTGAATGCTGAGTTTTAATAAGCCAGCTTTTTCACTCTCCTCTTTCACCTTCATCAAGGGGCTCTTTAGTTCTTTTATACTTTCTGCCATTAGAGGAGTGTCATCTGCATAACTAAAGTTGTTGATATTTCTCCTGGCAATTTTGATTCCAGCTTGTGATTCATCCAACATTTTGCATTATGCGTTCTGCATAGAAGTTAAATAAGCAGAGTGACAATATACAGCCTTGATGTGTTCCTTTCCCAATTTTGAGCAGTCCATTGTTCCATACCCCGTTCTAACTGTTGCTTCTTGTCCTGAATACAGGTTTCTCAGGAGTCAGGTAAGGTGGTCTGTTATTTCCATCTCTTTAAGAATTTTCCACAGTTTGTTATGATCCACACAGCTTTAGCTTAGTCAGTGAAGCAGAAGTAGATGTTGTTTTTAAGCATTCTTTTGCTTTTTCTGTTATCCAAATGGTGTTGGCAGTTTGATCTCTGGTTCCTCTGCCTTTTCTAAATCCAGCTTGTACATCTGGAAGTTCTCAGTTCACATACTGTTGAAGCCTAGCTTGAAGGATTTTGAGCATTACCTTGCCAGCATGTGAAATGAGCACAACTGTACAGTAGTTTGACCATTCTTTGGCATTGCCTTTCTTTGGAATTGAAATGAAAAACTGACCTTTTCCAATCCTGTGTCCACTGCTGAGTTCTTCATAGATCATTGAATCCAGAAATTCAAAGCAAAATCATTTCACTTTGTATTCAATCTAGAACTGTCCTCCAGTACTGAAATGCCTCCTACTATTAAAATATGGTCTTTATTTTTTAGAAAAATCTCATTTTAGGAGAATAAAATGATAAGAAGTTCTATATTTTTCCCACTGTGTCTTTTAAGGAAAAGATTTTTGGTTTGCATGATTATATCTTACCTGAGACAAAATGTTCTCATACTGATCAGAGAATTCATGGTAGCTATTTGTTAGTGAACAATTCTGGATGTCATTAGGAGCTAAATAAATTGTCTGCTGCCAGTCAAATGCCATTCAAACAAAACCTCATTCTCCATTGAGATAGACTGATACATAACTTGCTTCCAGGATGACTTCAAAGCCAATCCCACATCCCACAGTTTACAGCCTGGAAGAAAAATTCAGAGTCCTCTCAGCCCTAACCTTGGCCCCTAAGAAGAGGCACGATGCTGCTGTTTTTAGGGATGTCTCAGCTCAAAGGAAAACCCCCTTATGGAATAGAGAAGTATCCTATTATCATACTCACCCCAACCCAAGAGCTTGTGGGCTATAAGTTGGGTTCACAGTTATTAAAAAAAAATTACCCTCCATTGCTTTTAATTGACAAAACAGAGAGATCTAGGTTAAATGGAACTATTTGTTTTAAAGGATAAATACATATCCTCAGTGGTAGAGAGTAAGTTCAGATTAGCTATGCACATTCTCACGAGTGCTTTTGTTTTCTAAACCACACCCTTATGAGAAATCTTACTGTTGTGAAAATCATTGCCAAAAACATAAAATAAAATGAAGCAGGAAAATTGCACAGGCAACGGAGTCACCCCCCTTCCACAGCCCAGGCAGATACTGTGCCTGTCCCTCACACAGCAGGTCATCTTTGGTGACTTCCCAGGTCTTCACTCCGCCCCTCAATTATGAAATCAGCAAAACTCTCAGGGGAAGAAGACCCAGAAAGAACAAATGTGGCAGCAAGAGACAGAGGAATCAATACCTTCAGAGTCTGAGAATGTAATGGGCCCTGTAGATCTGTTAATTATCAAACAAAAATTCTGTTTCAAGAAGGGAAAAAAGTGCATTTTAATAGCAGCTCTATAATTAGCCATTGCTGTTCAAGATTTCTTAGTAGTTTTTATGTTTGTCTGCCTTCACCTTTATTTCCTTTAACAATGTTCACATAAAATGGCTCAGAATTGCTCTCCCTCTAATTATTTACTGTAACAACCAACAAGCTGAGAGAAAGATGACAGAGGAGTGAAGAAAGATCTTTGTACAGGATGTATTGACTCACCACTGTTTCCTTCTTACTCCTCGATATATTTTTTGTTGTTCTTTCCTAGCATATAATTTGTATGTTTGCATGAAACACTTGCCTGAGCTGTTTGATTCTATGATGTTTGATTTTAATATAGATACACAGTTTGTTCAGCCCTTGGTAAAACACAGATCCGATCTATCCCCAAAATCGCCACTGGTCAAGATGGAGCTGGTGGGACTTGTATGTGATAGGGGTGGGCATCAGTTCAGAAATATAAATGTGACAACCGGCAGAAGGTAGGAGTTTAGATGCCGAGACTGAATTTAAGGCAGGGAACAATTTGGGGGGAAATGTTCAATTCTGAGGAAGCAAATGAGAAATGAAATCCTCAATGGGGCAAAAACAAGAGCAGAAGTCCCAAGGACAAATCAGGGTCAAAGTCACGACAGTCTAAAGAAGGCAGGACATTCACACTGAAGGAAGCAGTCAGCCTGGTATCATGTCTTTGAACTGAGGTTGCTTGCATCCACTGTTCTGAAAGCCCATCTTTAAAAGGTGAACTCTGAGTTCAGCACCAGAAATGATGAACGTTGCCCTGTGAATAGCAGCGACTCTGTACTCAGCCAACACCCAATATATGGAATGAGAATATGTTCAAGAGTCAGAACATGGGCTTGGGAGGTGGCAGATTCAACTACTATTCATCACCTTTCTGTGAGCAACATGCAGTGATCACTATCAACAAGTTGTCATTACTAAGTGATCAGAATATTATGAGCAAAATGGTAACATGAAACTTGAAATGAGAAGAGGCTAAAATTAAACAGCTGAGGGTTGAACCATTGCACCCCTTATAACATCACCCATCCAAGTCACTTCCAGGATGAAGAAAAGACCACAGAACACCAGGACATCACTGACGCCACAAAACCATGTCAAGTGGCTCTCTTTAAAACCAATCAAAGGTATGACCTTTCACCTTTTCTGTCCTGTCCCAATTTAAGTTTCTTTCAAAGATGAGTCTATTCCCACTTTGATGTGACACCCATGAGACAATACAAGAAGCGCCTCCATTCTCTGGGGGCCCGGGGCTGTCCTCTGAAATAAATATGGGATGACTTCTGTCCAACACAAAGCCAAGTTTAAAATCGCCCATGCTATGTTAGAGATCTCCAACAAGATTCAGAACAAAATAAATTTTGCTCTGTTCTTTGAGTAGTAATGGCTCTTGGTAATAGGCTCTTTCTGTAGTTTATGGGTCCATCTTGTAGTTTATTAGAGCCCAGTCTGTGTCAGGACTTCCATTATAAGCCCATATTTCTCTGGGTTGAGAGATCAACAACAAATTGGGCTAGTATTGAACCTTAATCTTGATATTCAGCCCCTGCTTGAGAATATAAGAGGAGAAATTAAAGA